AATGATGGTTTGCTAGTAAAATTGTCTTTTTGGCACAATTTTGTTCTCATCATTCTTTTTAATGATAACATTTAGCTATTGAGTAGTAAGTAAATAAGAATAAGATATTTTTTATAATTACTGAGTACATTTCACGATAATTGTGAGACGAACCCTAAGTGACGTCTGTATGGGCGCCGCCATTTTGAAATGGACGTCACGTCAGGTTACAACGTAAGTCAACGGGGAAAAATATAATTTTAACATTTTGACCATATTACTGACTTGATGAAAGAAATGAAAAACATGCCTAGAGATATTGACGTCAGAGTTAAATTGACATTATCTTTAAGGTGATTTTACTATTATATGAAATAAAAAAAAGGAATATTCAAATTTGATGGAACAGATTATAATTTGTAGGAATTCATTGGCAATTTAAGTACTATAGTAGTTTGTTACATAGCCGCAAAATTTAGATATTTCAAGTGGTAAAATAAATAAAACACTTAAAAACATTTACCAATTAAGCATCAAAACACATTTTTATGTTATACCTCCTGGCGTCCTTCCGTCCGTCCGTCTGTATGTCTGTCTGGCGAACAACCAATGGTCTATGAGCTTCATTCCGTCCATTATTTTAGTTTAAAAAAGAAGGAAATCCTGTAAAACCGACTGGTTTTGTGGTACTTTTACTGGTTTATGGGGAAAAGTGCCACATAAAGATCCAAGAAAAGCACATAAACCATAAATGTTGACAGGTCCGTCCGTCCGCCCGTTGGCAATTTGGTTTCCGGAGCATAACTTAAGTTTCATTCGGCCAACAATATTCATACTTCATAGGATGATTTTCTATATTGGGTAGAAGAACCCTATTGATTTTAGGGTCACAACGTCAAAAGGCAAGGTCACTATTACCTTAAAACTGAAAACACTTTCCGGAGCATAACTTAAGTTCCATTTGACCTACAATATTCAAACTTCATAGGATTATTGTCCATATTAGGTGGAAGATCCCTATTGATTTGGGGTCAACAGATCAAAGGTCAAGGTCACTATTACCTTAAAACTAAAAACAGTTTCCAGAGCATAAGTTAAGTTCAATTTGGCCCACAACATTCATACTTCAAAGGATAATTATACATATTGGGTAGAAGATCCCTATTGCTTTTGGGGTCAACAGGTCAAAGGTCAAGGTCACTATTACATTAAAACTAAAAACACTTTCCGGAGCATAACTTCTGTTCAATTTGGCCAACAATATTCAAACTTCATAGGATGATTGTCCGGATTAGGTAGAAGACCCCGATTGATTTTGGGGTCACAAGGTCGAAGGTCAAGGTCACTATTACCTTAAAACTGAAAACAGTTAACGGAACATAACTTAAGCTCCATTCGGCCCACAATATCAAATTCATAGGATGATTGTTCATAATGGGTAGAAGACCCCTATTGATTTTGTGGTCACAAGTCCAAAGGTCAAGGTCACTATTGCCTTAAAACTGAAAATAGTTTCTGGAGCATAACGTAAGTTCCATTCGGCCCACAGTGTTCAAACTTCGTAGGATGATTGTCAATATTGAGAAGAAGACCCCTGTTAATTTTTGGGTTACGAGGTCAAGGTAATTATTACCTTCAAACTGAAAACAGTTTTTGCTCAATAACTTTAGTATAAATCAACCTACAGCTGTAAAATTTTATAGGATGAACAGCCATGTCCAATACATGACCCCTATTGATTTATGATTCATGAGATCAAACGTCACAATGACCTTAACACTGAAATTTGTACTTTCCGGAATGTAATACAACTTCCATTTGGCTTACAGTTGATGATTGCCTATATAGAATAAAAGATCCATATCTATTTTGGAGTCACAAGGTCAAAGGTCAATATCTAATGACCTTAATATTGTTAAAAGTTTTACAACTGTCAAACTTCAAAGGACGATCACATATATTGAGCACATTAACTATATGTTATATTATATGTTATTTTGGTTTTGGAGTGATATATGTGGATATATTATCTGTAAGATTTTATATCACCCGAGCCGTTAGGCGAGGGTGATATTTTATCTTGGCAGGTAATATATCCACATATATCACTCCAAAACCAAAATAATAATTTTATTTACCCTTCCCCTGCCGAGTTTAGACGATTTTTTAAAAAATCATTGCTGTTTCAAATGAAACGTCGAAATAAGATTCCCTTTAGGATACCTCTTCGTCACAACATGACGTCACATAAATACATGACGTATTTTTCCTGTACCTTACGAAAGTCAACAAGAGAAAAGGAGTAGTCTATTGAACGCACTTTTTATACGCCCGTTTGAAAAATGGGACGTATTATGGGAACGCCCCTGGCGGGCGGGCGGTCGGGCGGGCGGCGTCCAATTTTGTCCAGAGCATATCTCCTACATGTATGGAGGGATTTTAATGAAACTTCAAAGAAATGTTCACCACTATGAGGAGCAGTGTCGCGCACATGAACCAGGTCTCTAGGTCAAAGGTCAAGGTCACACTTAGAGGTCATTGAAAAATGCTTGTCCGGAGAAAAACTTCCACATGTATAGAGGGATTTCAATATTACTTGGCACAAATGTTCACCATTGTGAGGCGGAGTGTCGCGTGCAAGATTCAGGTCCTTGCGGCCAAGGTCAAGGTCACACATAGAGGTCAAAGTTCAGATAAAAATATGAAGATGTGTATATGGACCATTTAGTCATCATTTATTGAGGGATTGTAACACAAATGGTCATTATCAAGACTATGGCTGTGATACATATAATTTAGGTCAATATATACAAGGTCAAGGTCACTAAAGATGATGAAATATCCAGATTTTGTAAATAGAATTTAATCAAAGGGCGACAACAAAGTTATTACTTTGTTCATAAATGACTTACACAATTACTCCCCTTGATCTACTTTCACTTTCAATTCTAAAAATAGAATTTAATCAAAGGGCATAAAATAATCCTCTTTCTTGGACTTGAGTATGTTCTAAAGAATGTAACATTTATTTACACATGTTGCATTCATTGGTCAAGATTCTTAACTGTGATAACTATGGTGTTCTGTAGACTTGGTATTTGTTCATAAAGATCATACAGTAATTACCTTCAAATGTAAATACTTTCTCATAGAAATTTAATTATATTTTAATTTTCAAGTAAATATCAGTTCAGCTCATTCAAAGATTAAGAATTGTAATGAAATTTATTCCCTAGAATAAAATCTTAAATCAGAATTTTTTAGTTATTAAATTACAATTACATGTACTTTTTATCTTCCCTACTGATTTGTTTTAAGGTTCATTTAACAACACAGTGCCAAGGATAAAAACTTGCTTGCTAGATAACACTTATCCATAATGCCCCCATCTCCATCTAAAGTTTTCGTAAACGGGCGTATTTTGTGACTATGGCACCCTTGTTTGTAATTAATATCAAGCTTTCACAAGGTCATATTTGTTTTTGATACTGATGGTAATATGTATCATTACTCTACTTTGGTAAATATTGATCATTTGACAGTTAAAAAGTGCTTTTAAATCGGAATTTACACCGCGTAAAATCGAACCGTACGCGCATCACCTCGGCGCATGTTGTTTACAACGTTGGGTACCAAACGGGGAAATTTAGTGTGTATATTACCCGTCTGGCTCGGTTATATCAATTTCTTTCGGGTGATCAATATCCAATCAAAAAGGCGGAAAAAATCTGGAAGGGTAATAATATGTTATATCCCTGGCATCATTCTGTCCATCCGTCGTAATAAAATAAAATTATTATTTAATTACCATGTCTTACAAATGCTTCATTTTTTTAACAAAAATCACTTTCGGGCATATAATGCTCCGCCTAGCCGTGTTCTTGTTATAACTGTTACATCAGCATTTAATGAAATGACACTATGAAATATTGATGTATATATTAGTATCGACAGTCATCTTGAACTCCGCCTAAAATATTTCAGTGTCGCAGAATTCGAATTTAAGTCAGTACTCAGTATTTAAGCAGAACTCAGTTGACACCTTCAAAACTCTGAAACCCAAAGTACGTTTGACCCCAAAGTGCGCTGTGAAGTTTACCGCACTTTGGGGTCGGATCCCATAGTGCGTTTGACCCCAAAGTGCGGTGTAACAGACCATAAAGGAGTACATATGGTGTTTTCATTAATATTTTTGATTTAACTGGTTGCTTTGTTGGCTTTTCAACGTTATTAAAATTAGATTTAGTCTTCCCACGAACATATACACGTAAAAGACTTCATACTGTTACGTTAGGGTTTCTTTACAGGTTACGGATATAAGAATTTTTGTAATGATTATTTTGTATAATTGTTGCAAACAAAAGTCGTCCACAACAAACCACCACAGTCCTATGCAATATTATACAAAATTCATTTATATATTGTACAAAGTCTTAGCATCATTTAAACGTTTAAAAGCAAATATAACCAAAAAAAAAAGAAGTTTTTGTTTCGAAGACGATGCAAGCTTTATTATTTATTATAAGAAGGTGACCATTGTTTGATTTTTTACTTTATACATATTTGATTCCTTTCATTTTATAACAATAGATTTACAATATAAATTAATAGAAAAAGTATAAAAATACTTTTTTTAAAAAAAAAGGATGGGGTCATTAATTCATATAACATTAGTAATTCGGTTCGTCCCTGAAACAATAAAGAAAAATGATACTTTAGATTACATAGAAATGGCATTGAATAATCCAACAAAGAATTTACAGTTGCGTTGATTTTGAAGCGCAAAAATCAAAAGCATTGAACAGATTTTAACAAAAACGTTTCGTATGCTTAATGCATCTTTGAACTGAAAAAAATATTAATGAATTGCCTTTTTCGGAATAAGCAACATTACCAAAAAGAAGAGTATCCGTATTAAGAGGATGAAAAATGCGACAGCATTAAATGTTGTATTCGCTGTGTTTAGTTGTTATGATGTATTCATAATATCTGTTATATAATAGCGATTGATGTGTTTCTAGTACGGAACATTCGTATCCAAACAACATAATTATTTGGTACAACCACCGAGGGATAACCGAAGTACTTACACAGTAGCTCTAATGGAAGAAAAGCTGACAACATCGTTTGATAATATTAAATTGCCAGACAAAGGTAAGGTTTTAGTTGTATAACTTAGTCTTTAGAAGATTTATTTACATGCAAATAAATAACTCGTATAAACTTCCAATATTGATAAATTTCATTTTTTATTCAACGGTTGCTGTGTTAGTGTAAATATGTGTTTCCTTATCTGGCATTTTTTACGATTGTAAAGTTAGGAGTAGCTCGTTTGCTGTCTCCCATCATTTGATATTTCTTTACCTTCAATGCATTTTTTTTTCTGATTAAAGACTTAAAACAATATATAAATCAAAGGACACAGGTTTTTCAAGTGATAAAAGTTTATGTTGTTAAACTAAATACATAAGCTGATTCCCTTTGTTTTCTAAAATAAAATCGTTAATATTTTATATCAATAGTGAAGAAGATCTTCTTTGAATCTCGAATTTGACCTGATATTTCTATTCTGTGAATACGCAAATGTAATGATATATGGTTATATAATGGTATATGGTATATGGTCAAATAATAGTATATTTATGGTTATAGCTTGTTTACGGATAGTGATCCTGTTCAGACACCTAATTGTTCAAACTATCCATTTTCTTCAGACGCTAAAATTACTGAAGAGAAGATGCAGAATCGCTCAGAGCAGACAATAAATACCAGAGAAAAGCGACAGACGACCAACTACGAGATCGAAATTTTCTTTGTGATTGACTTTTCACTTTACGAATGGTATTTTTATTTATTTATTTTTATACGCCCGTGTGAAAAACGGGTCGTATTATAGTTCCCCCCTAAAGGGCGGCTTGGGGACATCCGATTTCTGTTCGAAGCATATCTCCTACAACCATAAAGAAATTTTGATGAACTTTAATACAAATGTTCACCACTATAAAAAGCCCTGTCCCCTGCATGAACCAGATCTCTAGGTCAAAGGTCAAGGTCACACTTAGAGGTCGTAGAGAAACGCTTGTCCGGAGCAAAACTTCTACATGCATAGAGGGATTTCAATAGAACTTGGCACAAATGTTCACTATTGTAAGACGGAGTGTCGCTTTACAAAATTTAGGTCCCTGCAGCCAAGGTCAAGGTCACACACCGGCGCCAAAACTCAGATAAAAATATAAAAATGTGTGTAGGGACCATTTAGTCATTATTTATTGAGGGATTGAAACATAAATTATCATTTTATGACTACTGATGTGAAACATGTAATTTAGTTAAATATTTGAAAAGCCACAGTCACCTAAGATAATTGTCAATGTCACTAAAGATAATAAAATATAGAGATTTTGTTCAGAGCATAACTTCTACATATATCGCGGGATTCTAATGAATTTTCATACAAATGCTTACAACTTTACATACCGTGTCGCGTGAAAAAAACAGGTTTCTAGGTAAAAAATTAAGGACAATATTAGAGGTTATTGAAAAACGCTTTTTTCCAGAGCAAACCTTCTATATGCATAAAGGGATTTAAATATTACTTTGCACAAATGTTCACTATTGCAAGGCAGAGTGTCAAATTTCAAATAAAAATATGAAAATGTGTATTGGAACCATTTAGTCATCATTTATTGAGGGATTTGAAGCACAAATGGTCATTCTTATGACTGCTGGTGTGAAACATGTAATTTAGGTTAATATATGCAATGTCAAGGTCAGTAAAGATGATTGTCAAGGTCACTTAAGGTAGCTCGCTACTTTCCGACCGAAATTTGACAACATCTCAGATCTTGATGATTTTTTGTATGCAAACATATAGATATGTGAGCTTTACTTCTGCAGTATTATTTTATAAATAAACAGCGTTACTATGACGTCAAAGCGCCCTCTATCGGTGGCGGCGAAACTGCGTCTTTTTTCAGTAAACCAATCTGTTATTATCAATTTTCATCCGATGTCCTTCGTTTTAATTTTATAGTGTTCAGTAAATGTATGTCTTTGTAATGATACCTTTCTTTAACATTTGCTTAATTGTCTGCGATTCTACGTCATTTTTCTCTACATTCTGACGTCCATATCTGATGCAAATACCGCGCGATATCGCAATAAAGATTGTGTAATAAAAAAAATTCAACACGGTGAACTTTGCTATAATTTTTCGAGCGTGTAGTAAGAAAGTGAAGGAAAATATTTATGCAATAAAAATATAGGGTCAACGCGTAAGATATTTTGATATTACTGTTTTAAAATAAAATAAAGGGAATGTAACGTAATGGTTTTGGTGGCGTTAATAGACGTTGGAGTTCAAAGAATAATACCAAATAACAATTTTCTTACGTCAAACATTACGATTGTAAGTATAAACAACTCAGGAACTTGATGAAATGTATATTTTTTAAATTGTTGATTATTTTCTCATTGAAAGCATGCGCTAGAACAGCAAATTTACAATGTTTAATCTTAAATACGTTTCTAATTTGCAGGACGCAGTCTCATACATCTTTTAATTTTTATTTTATATTTTGATGTTTGTAATGAAAGAGCGAAAAGTGTTATATTATTATATGAATCAACTAGTTTCAGCGCAAAAAAATAAGATTCACATATTGCTGTATGAATGAAGTAAGAATATTAGGTCGCTTAGCTTATACCCGTTAGAATATTTATTTAAGAAATAACATCGGCCTGAGAGGTGTATATCGGCTATTTAACACCGGTTTGGAGTTTTGATGCGTAGGAATTGACCACGAAGGCCGTAGGATCCATACTGTTCGCTTTTAAACATTTTAATAAGTAGAGAAACTGATAGCGAACAGAATGGATCCTGATCAGACTGCGCGGATGCGCAGGCTGGTCTGGATCCATGCTGGTCGCAAACGCACTACGTTGGTTTTGTCGTGACGCGGCTCAAATAAATTTTTATACGAGTAGAAAAGTTTTAAAATAAATGTCTGCTAGATTTATATAATTAAGACTACCAGTGAAACATGACTTACCTACAAATCGTTGTTACTTCGAGTTGATCATACATTTTTAAAACGTAAATTTGATTCATTTCCTACTAACTGATATATACAATTCGAAATTGTTACATACGTATGATAACATGGAAGTTTATATAGTACCGAGATACACATAACATGATGACACCGCGACTGCACCAGCCTTTTCATTCTTTTTTTCTGACATTCTTTGCAAAATTTATGTTTGTATTATTTCCACTTAGGTGGCCTTTTCATTATATCTTTCAATATTCTGAATTGTCTTTCAGTCCTCGAGGTATTTATAACCATTCGTTTCAGTTTTTTAGAGATTGATACACACTTTTGCAGACAGTCATACCCTGATTTGTTGTACATGTATATAATTGAAGTTGTTCATCGAAATGCGGGCACCTGACAGGACTTTTAAAAGAACATTTTACGGAATATGTCTAAATACAATTGTTGTTGATGGTTTTCACACATTTTAATTCCAGTCAGTATACTGTTCATCGGAAAAGTCGTGACAATTTCCTTGAGAAAAATATTTGACGTCACCAAAATCATTACGTTTTACTCATCCTTTATCTTATATTAAAATAGTAATAGCAAAATATCTTACGCGTTGACCCTATATTTTTATTGCATAAATATTTTCTTTCATGACTTCACTACATGTTAAAAAAATTATAGCAAAATTCACCGTGTTGATTTTTTGTTATTTTACAATCTTTATTGCAATATCGCGCTATATTTGTATTATAAATGGACGTCAGAATGTAGAGAAAAACGACGTAGAATCGCAGAGTATTAAGCAAATGTTAAAGCAAGACATTATTTCAAAGACATACATTTACTGAACATTATAAAATTAAAACGAAGGAAATCGGATGAAAATTAATAAGAACAGACCGGTTTATTGATAAAAAAGACGCAATTTCGCCGCCATCGATAGAGGGCGCTTTGACGTCATAGTAACGCTGTTTATTTGTAAAATAATGCTGCAGAAGTAAAGCTTACATATCTATATTTATGTATACCAAAAATCATCAAGATCTGAGATATTGTAAAATTTCGGTCGGAAAGTAGCGAGCTACCTTAAGATGATAAAATAATTACAGAGATTTTGTCCAGAGCATATCTCCTAAACGTACGGAGGGATTCTAATTAAACTTCCCACAAATGTTCACATCTATGAGAAGCCGTGTCGTGTGTATAAACCAGGCCCGGCTTTCACAAGTCAAAATCTCAAGCTCAAACTCCTCACAGCGGTTACGTCACGCTTAGCTACTTTAAATACTGCCACTGAAACCAACGTGACGATAGTTGTATCATGACCAGTTTTATAATTCGTCGCATCCAAACTCCAAACAGTGATGTTATTGAGCGATAAAATCACTGAATAGGATATATTATTTAAGAAATAATATATCCCAAACTATGATTTTATTGCTCAATAACATCACTGTTTGGAGTTCCGATGCGGGGAATTATATCACGAGGGCGTAGCCCGAGTGATATAATGATCCGCATCCGAACGACAAACAGTGATGTTATCAAGCAATAAAATCATCGATTTGGATATATTATTTCGATTCTAACACGAAATCAACAAATAAATGCTGCCTTACATGATAATAAGCTAAATTGCGTCTGATTTGTTTCCGTACTTATTGTCAGCGCGTCACATTTTTAGTGGTTACGTCACGTGTATAATGATTACGTCACATGTCTAATTATAGAACGTCAAACAGTGATTTTATAGCATAATAACACACACTTTCGGTTCTTCTATGTTCAATAGGGAAAAATGCGGATCGTGTTAGAATCCTTAATTTTACACAGGCTTTCTTGTTTTGATGCGAAAAAAGTACACTGTAAATGTCCAAGAATAGAACACATCTTGAACGCCTATTTGCAACAGATATTAATCGCCAAGACGCGTTTCATTTCTTAATACTAGTGTTCAATTTTTGTCTCCAACCATTCCATTATTGAACATGTTATGAACATTCAGGTGTTCTTCTTTTAAATGCCAGGCGCGTTCAATTTAGATCCAACAGATATTGAACGCATAGAATATGTTCAAAGTTAGGTTTGTTAAAAGTTAGAACACTGATGAACACTTATGTTGACATTTGAACACCTGATAAAACAACAGATCTATGTCATAAAATGAAGAAATCATATTGAGATTTTTTAATTATAATTTAGTTATTCACATTTAACAAATTTTATACAACAGTTGCATGTAAACTTGTTGAAGAGTTGCCATAAAGTATGCATAAATTTGGTACGAAATGTGTTAATACTTTTTATGCTAATAAGGGTGTTTTTGCAAACAGTTTTTCTTTTTCCATTGTTTCTGAAAGTAAGTTCTTAAATACTTAACTTCATTAGGTGTCAAAAAAGCTAGTGGCTTACATGGTATACCTTCACGTTTTATCAGAGATTGATCCCTAGTTATTGCTAGTCCATTAGCTCATATCATAAACTTATCCCTTACCCAAGGTCAAGTCCCTGATGATCTTAAATTTGCAAGAGTTGTTCCCCTTTATAAAAAAACGACAAATTGTCTGTTGGTAATTACCGGCCTGTGTCCATTTTAAATGTTGTATCTAAAATCCTTGAAAAAAGGTGGTTTATGACCAGGTTGAAGCTTATTTAAGGATAAAGATCTGCTGTATAAATTTAAATCAGGTTTCAGGAGTGGCTTCTCTATTGATACTTGTCTGATTCACCTTACAGACTTTATCAGGTATGAAAACTAGAAAAGTAATGTTGTTGGTATGGTTCTGCTGGATT